TGACGATTTTTTACAAGCAGGAAGTGCAACACTGAAATTCGTATTTCTCCCCTCTCCGTGAAGTGAGGGAATGATGCACGACCATGTCAAAAATATGACTGGGGTTCTAATGATACAAAGCTTAAATGCAAATGGGTGAAGTGTCCCTTTAACTCCACTGGTACTAGGACAGTCAACCTATTTGAGGTAAACTACTGAATCATAAATATGGGTTATAATAAGGTTCTGCACAATCAACCTATACGGATGTTTCCTGGTTAGGACAGGCCTTAATGCCTATAAGATGGATTTCAGTTACATTTTTTAGATATTAATGGTCCCCAGAGGATGAATCCTACTGACTTTGGTCATCCCCTGACTTTTTATTTAGTGCCACCATTGGAGAAGAAGGCCAGGCTGTCTGCTCTCAGCATGCCAGGTTTGCCTGAGAAGAAAGACAAGGCACAAAAGTTATCTCAGAAAACAATGCCCAACTCCATACAACACAATTGCCAGCTATTTAAAAAGGAAAGTATGTCCATCATATCATATGGACAATTTGATGCTTATTTTTGCTGTGAACAAGTTCGCCATTAAAATATTAGATTTCAAATACGCTTTCGACGTTCTGTAAGCTTTTAGAAAATGTCTGACATACCTGACATGACCCTGACCCTTGTCCATGTCATACTCAGCTATTCTTTGTTTTACATGTAAACATTACATAATTGCCTAGTGACAATTAGATTGTTTATACAGCACACCCAAGGAGAGCTCAGTGAACCACCAGAGCGGCTCTGGGACCAAAGAATTAACACCTCTAATAGGAGAGCTTGCATCATATCATTGCATCAGACTGTAAACAAACTGTGCGAGACAAACTGAATATACTGAATATACTGTAAGTTAGGATACTAATACTCTTTTTTTTGCTGCAAAGTCACAATTACGTAAGGAAATATATGGACTAAACGGGTGTTGCAAGACGTCCATACGTACAAGCAAAATGTTTCCTGACAATGCTCCCTACAAAATCTGCTCGTAGCAACTAAATTCAAATGATATTTTTTAGGTTTATGTTTCAGCAACTTAAAGCAACCTTGGTAAAGGTTAGGGAAAGATCATGTTTTTGGTTACATGTTGAAACAATCAACAAGGACATGAGACAGGACATGTCTCAAACCTAATCTCCAGTCTAGTCCTGCAGATGGTAATGCCCATTAACAGTATATAATTAGTAGATACAGCTTCCGGGTTTGTGAAGTGAAACCAACGCAGTTGCCTTAAACTTTAATTCTTTCTAACGGCCAGCAGGTGCTCCATGGCCTGCAAAAACTAAGCCCAATAGTATCAGAATCAGAATCAGAATCATTTTTATTGGCCAGGTATGTGTGCACATACAAGTAAATGTACTCCAGTTTTACATATAGTGTACGTGTAGTATTGAATCTTATGGGGAAAATGACCCTACTTTACACTTAATTTATTACCTCAGTAAACAATTTCTGATTGGGTTTATGGTCGTAAATGAGACCATAAACCCAATAGTTTGAAATGTTGCTATGGCTAAAGGTTAGTTGAAACCAATTGGAACCAATGACCAATGAGTAGGCTAACCTGGCATGCTATACAAGTCATTGCATTCCATAGACTTAAGAGTTTTTGGATTTGGGAAGGCCAAATATGCAAAAGGGAAAATAAAAAACTGCAACCCTTCAAACTCTTTAGATGTATCGCTCCCCATGCACACCACTTCATGTTGAGAAATCCAAAACTGTGCCAGCAGCAGTTACAGTTGCTAATCTATGATTGGACAATCATTGCTCAGGGAAGGGTTTTAGCAAACATCCATTAGGGGAACAGGCTGGAGATATTTATGTTTGTGAGAGGATCAAATAAACAGTATAGTCAGAGATAATGACAACAATACTGGACATGCAATAGCTATTACTTCTTGGATAACAGGTATAGTATAAAACATTATGCAGTTCCAATAACAACTGAAAATTTCAATCATTACTACTTGTCCCAGAAAGCTTTTCTTTTATCATGCTTAAATATGATTTATTGTAAATGTACTTCAGATGTAGCTGCATTAAAAATTATAATTACTGAAAACTGAATTGTGTTACAAGATTTCTCTATCCAGAAAGCATGGAACCTGAAATAATCAACAAGACAGATAATGTTAAAATCATGCATTTCTGTCAGGAATCAGGAAATTCCTCTTGCATAATGGCAATAACCCCTTCAACAATACGTATGATTTTATATATGTTCATTGGCAGTACGGTATCTATTTTCACAATTTGTGGAAACCTGCTTGTAATCATCTCCATCATTTACTTCAAACAGCTCCACACTCCTACTAACTACCTTATTCTCTCTCTGGCTGTGGCTGACCTGCTTGTTGGGGCTTTAGTTTTGCTGTTCAACATGGCACTGTCTGTTAAGTCATGTTTGTATTTTGGGGATTTAGTTTGTAAAATGCGACGCAGCTTTGACATCTCACTAATGACAACATCAATTCTCAACTTATGTTGTATTTCTATTGACAGATATTATGCTGTGTGTCAACCCTTGACATATAGAACCAAGATAAATGGACGTGTTGTTGTGATCATGATCCTGGTGAGCTGGACTGTTTCTGCTCTATCTGGATTTGGCATCATATTTGTAGGACTTAAGCATACTACCTGTGAAGGAAGGTGTTTCATATTTCATATTCCAAATTCAAATACAATTGGCTCTGTTGTCTCATTTTACCTCCCAGTGATCATAATGCTCTGTATCTACCTGAAGATTTTCCTTGTTGCACAGGGACAGGTACGCGCATCCAGAACACAAAGTCTGGAGCAACTGTCAGTAAGATGGAGAGAAAGGCCACTAAAACATTGGCTATAGTTATGGGAGTTTTCCTTTTCTGTTGGACTCCTTTCTTTCTTTCTTTAACCTTTAATCCTTTGACTAATTATTCAGTCCCATCACCTCTCATTGAAACTCTTGTTTGGCTTGGATGGTCAAATTCAATGCTTAATCCATTAGTTTATGGATTCTTTTACAGCTGGTTTCGAGCTGCTTTCAGAATGATCATTTCAGGACAAATATTCAATGGCAATTTCACAACCTCAAAGCTGTTATGACCAAGTGGCTAGATGCAACTATAAATGTTTTAATGTAATTCTAAGTATGAATAACTTAATGAAAGGAGTGCAGTGTGTGTATTGGAACCTTCTAATTGAATTACTGTATATTCCGAATCAAAACAATAAATGGGAACAAGGATAAATTGTCTCACAGCAATGTGTAGATAGTGGTTATTAACTTTTATAGAATGTAATATTAGAAAATTATAAATTAAAGTAAAAGCATTGCTCATGTTTGCAGTTTGAGAATTTCGTAATTAATGAAAAACTTTTTTCTTAACTCTTATAGGGATTTATTACACTTGTGGATTTATGAAAAAAATTGGTTTTAAACAAATGTAATATGTAGCTATGGTATTGCTTTAAATTGAATGCAATAAGAGAGTCTGCATTATACAAGGGACTGTTCAAGAAAATAATGTATCATATTAAACTTGATGACTTTTCAAACGTGTATCCCTCTTTGAGGAAATGTTTATTTTATATATAATTACTTGCAATAATGAATACATCACCTTGAAGTACATGTTTGAAGAAAGACAAAATTAGGTCAAAACTATGAAACAAACAATATATCAGAGAAGTAAATGCAAGATTGTCCACCCATTTGGTGTGCAACAGTTTGATAAATATATGCTAAGTTATTATTTTCCAGCAATATACCTCCCATGAGATATTGCGCTACTTGATGAATTACACTTTATAAAAAGGTTATCAAATACTCCTGTGTGTAACATTTAGGAGGATCTATTGGCATTAATTGAATATTCACAGGTATGTCTGTTTAGTGTATAATCACCAGAGAATAAGAATAGTTGTGTTTTCGTTACCTTTGAATGATGGGTCACCAAAGCTTCACAGAGGATTGTGAGGCCTTCTTGATTTTAAGCAGTGTAAAAATATACAGTAGGCCTATATCACAGTGCTTCATTAATTACTGTCAAGAAAATAAAAATTTAAATGTTATTTTTAAAGTTTAGATTATTTTTTTAAGATATAAACTTTAAAGACCAGAACACAAGCTTTATTCATGGAGCCTTCACTGTCTGATAAACCCTAAAACCTAAGATGAAACAAAAGTGATAAGAGTGTTTGTGAACTAATTTGTTCTCTGATATCTGAAATAATATTCCTTTTCACAGAGAGTTAAGGCAGGGGAGACATCAGAAGGAAAACCACAAAACAGGATGAAGTGGATAGTTATGTTATTGTATGGCAACTACTGTTTTGAATTTTGAAGTTTATTTGCTTTAAAATACTTTATTGTAGTGATTAATTAAAAGAGATAATCTAAAATGGTGAATGTGTTTGATGGATTAAGCACATGTACAAACATACACAATGAATTATAGGATTTCTCATTATATTAATCTACCTAAAATGCCAGTCCCTTGAAAACAATATGCAAATGAGAGAAAAAATCATCTAAGCCATGTGTGCTTTAGATAGGGGGAGACCAGTGATAAAAACAAAGGAAAAAGGAAAAAAACACCTTGGTATGGTATTCTCTGTTGTCAGATTCTCCTCAGTCGGCATCTGATGCCCAACTTTATTTATATAGCACCTTTCAAAACCAAAGTTACAAGGTGCTGTACAGTGCAAACATTAGAAAATAGAAATAACAAAATAAAATGCCTAGATTTCTTGAGGCATGCTTAACATTTGCTGCTAAGGGACAAATACAGTGTTGAAACTTTCCAGAAATTCTCTTGGGGCCCATGATGAGGAATTCTGTTTTGTCAGGGTTAAGTTGGAGGAAGTTATCTGACATCCAGTCCTTGATGGCAGTTAGGCATGGGTCCGCTAGAGCTGCTTGACTAGGGGTACATAGGACACATTGCTATTGGCTAACGTAAAGTCCCTCCCAAGCTGCCTGTCTTCACAGGAAATGTGTAAATATGCTATATTCCAGCGGAGGGACAAATGACTCATGGGTAAGAGAGGGCAAGCTAGTGACTTGAACAAGAGATTGGGGGGGGAAATTGGTGTTTAATACTATCAATACTAGCTGAGAGGTCTTTTAAGCAGCTTATAATGTAAGCTTATAAAAGAAGGTGTGATTTACTGTACTGTTAAGACTAGGGGAGTTAACCCAAGTGCTGAACACATAAAGGCAGGGAGACTGGGATTGAGCTATTGAAAAAAAAGATTGCAAAACATTGAAGGGGGTGGGTTTGAGCTGGAGTGAGCAAAATGGGAAATAGGAGCTGAGCTAAGCCAGGTGTGCAGGGAAAAAGAAAGAAGTGGAGGGCATGACACAGACGCAGGTCGCCTTCCATTGGAGCCACTGTACAGTGTCCGTCCATCGAGGATCCAGGATGTTGGTGGAGTAGGTCCTTTGTAAACATGTGGGCACAGCCATTTCAGATTTATTTATTATTTATTTATTTGGCCAGCCTGAATTTATCCAGACTGGACATTTACCAGAAACAATCGTAAGTCCAAACTGGGCAAGCATGGTTTCTATCCCGGCTCTCTTCCCTGTCCTCCTGGTATGACCACAGCACCCACTGTAGCACTGACTGTGGGCTGGTCGAACCAATCTGGCTGGGTGGATCGTCTCAAGGCCGGCAGCTCTTTCATTCAAACCCCACTCTTCCTTTTCTAATGACTGTAGGCTAGTTCTGTCATAGATAGATAATGAGTATTTCAGCAATAAAGCCGGTAAAAAAAAAATAGATGAAAAACTAAAATTTAACCAAGTTTGAAGACACTAACCTACTGGCCGCAGCAGCTCAATGTGCAGCCATTGCCACAGTCAAAATCTCCTGAATCCAGTCAATTTGTAAAATTTTGGCTTAGCCCTTTAAAATCTAATCCAATCAGACATCATTCAATGAAGTCTGATCTATAAAGTGAAAAAGAATAACAGACTGATTCAAAAAGGTGTAGCAAGTTTGAAGGGGAAACCTGCCAGTGCATCTGCATGATGCCACATGGAGTTGTATGATTACTCATATTGATCTACATAAAATTCCACTCCCTTCAACATAATATGCAAATGAGCCCAGAATAATGAATCTACTCAGTGTAGGGTCAGTGGCACAGAGAGCAAGGATTCCCATCAGTACAGATGCACAAACCAGGATTGATGTGCATGATGTGAAACGTACAGAGCACTAAACTTTATTTAAAATCTCTAAAAATCGGATACTGTTGTTATATTTTATCATTTATGCATGGAACCTGAATTCTTTGCCAACAGGTCTGATGATGTTTTTGAGGACAAACATTTCT